GCTCTAATATGAATTAAATTTGCTCGACATGATGGACCTTCACTCCGGCTAAATCAATGAACCGATATACCTGCTATTTGGCTGCGGTAGATGGCGTGTTGGTGCAAAATCTTCCATTTCTTCAGATGTCGCAGCTCTGACTGGGATGTGTCAATTATGATGCCTATTCCACGAGGCCAAATATCAACTGTAATGCAAGATGGCTAGCATCTCGCCAATCCTGACCTGTACAGTAGCCCGCATTATTCTTAGGTAAATATGAAGATATATACTAGTCATCATCTATGTACATAGTCGTTTGGACATGTTCATAGGGAACTCCCTGTCGTAAACTTCCAGAAGTGCTAGAAGCTATGTATGTCTACTCTCTCCAAAGCCGAGGAGATGATTGGAGGGGATTGCGTTCCGGAAAGTGTTTGGCGGAGCTACCTTACCTAGAGCTGCTAACATGGCAAAGTTATCAATTCTTATCTTAGTTTCGCCGCTTTCGCGTTAGGGGGATCTGAGATTCTTCTTACTAGGTACTCCAGAAATGCTCCACTTTTTGACGATTCCTGGGGCAGGGAAAGTCTGGAGTTCAATTCGCAATACTCTACGTCACCACCGAGCAATGAGTCGAATTATCGCAGAAAACAACGCAACCCATTGTGTCTAGTCTATACATCTATGATCTCTTATGATCTCAGTATGAATTGCCTGCAGTTCATGGTTATCCCCAGTCGACAAATTTGCAGGACATTATCGTCCTGCTGGAGTAGGACTTGATAGTTGATATATGAATTGTATACAGGAATCAAACTGATAATAATGTCCCCAGGCCCGGCATCTCGGACTCCCAGTTTTGGACATCCCGTGCAGCTGAAGTGGGCCATTCTGGAAGAAACATGGACGGTCTTTATCCCTTCGATCTACCAGATCGTGTCTCTTACCGTCTTCGGCAATCAAGTAGCTCCAAATGAGCAAAAGTCACGATCCCTGCCCGAATCCGATGCCTCAAAAACTGTGGCAAGCTGTATCTCTTGGCGCCTGTCGCGCAGTTACAGGTTCATCGTACCCTGGTTGTTGCCGGGCGGTCCTGTGTTTGGGTCATATTGTATCATCGTGAAAGCAACTCTAGACTTTCTAGACTCCATCAGGGCAATCACGAGGCCATCTTGCTTTTTATCCCTTTGCCTTGCTTCATTTGTATCGACGTGATATCATGCCTCTGTCTCAAGGGTATAAACTTAGAACTCTTCTAATTTAGGTCTCGAGTTATGTAGAATCTGAAGTGTGCAATTGTATGCTGCCTGTCTTTTGACATTCTCTCTGGTCAATTGTTTCTTAGCTCTGCGCCTTGTTCCCCATTTATCTTATAGAATCTTTGAAATCTTTGACGAAGTCATGTCTTTGACTCTGCCTCGGTCGCTGACCGCAGCGCGGTCATGGCTACCCTGCACTTCGCTTCATTTGTTCCTACGATCAACATATTCAACTACGACCAATGAGCAACACATCCAGAGAAAGCTTCCCCGGATGACACCGCATCGATTCAGAGAGTTTGATCTTGCAGACCGCGTCTTCGCCGTCACTGGCGGCGGGAGAGGCCTGGGGCTGGCCATGGCCGAAGCTGTGATGGAAGCCGGAGCCAAAGGTACAGATATATCCTCGACTTCAACTTCAAGAGATACACTTGAGCACCTTTGCTAACACACCTCTCAAAAACCAGTATACTGCCTAGATCGCCTCGAGAAACCACACCCTGAATTCGAAACCGCCAGAGCCCAAGCCGAAAAGGAATACGGCGGCGCCCTGGAATACCGACGCATCGACGTGCGCAACGAACCCGAGGTCAACGACGTCTTCGCCGAGATCGCCTCCCGGGATAAGCGGCTGGACGGCCTCATCGCCGCCGCAGGCATCAACCACCTGCAGAGCGCCCTGGAGCACTCCCAGGCGGCCCTGAACGAAGTCATGCAGATCAACTACAACGGCGTCTTCATCTCCGCCACCGCAGCAGCGCGACAGATATTCAAATATCAGCAGAAGGGGTCCATCCTGCTCATTGCAAGCATGAGCGGGCTCATCGCTAATAAGGGCATGACCTCGCCCGTGTACAACTCGTCCAAGGCGGCTGTGATCCAGCTCGCGCGGTCCCTGGCGATGGAATGGGGTCGGCAGGGGATCAGGGTTAATAGTCTCTGTCCGGGACACATCGTCACGCCGATGGTCGAGCAGGTGTTCGAGCAGAATCCGGCTGCGAAGGCGATCTGGGAGGCGGAGAATATGCTCGGTCGGCTCGCGTGTCCGGAGGAGTTCAGGGGTGCGGCGCTCTTCGCGCTCAGTGATGCCAGTAGCTTTATGACAGGGAGCACGATGATCATTGACGGTGGCCATACTGCGTGGTGAGCTCTTCGGCGATTTTCACGACTGCCTGGTTTCCGAGTAAGCGTCTTCTGATTCCCTCCTGTATTCTTTATGCTTATCGGTTCACTGGGACGAAAGTACATGATTCTTTGTCCCTTTCTTGTACTATAAGCGACTTCCTTTCTCTTGCTTCTTAGCCAAAATATCAATAGTAATATTTAATCTGGACCAAGTACATACCATGACTTTCATGCAACCAAAATTGTAGATGCAGCAGCAACAAAAAGCGGAAGCACAATCATGAAACGTGCCTCATAAAATGTTCACGAATCTCTCTTCAACACTATGATTGAACTGATTCCCATCCATAAGGACCTGCCGCGTTTCCATCTCAATATCAGCACCTTCTTCCCGATCTGCTACACGATCGCCCCTCTGAAGCATAAACCTCAGCACGAACGCAAGGACAGCAACCACAACCATGAAGAAAGAGCACGTTGCCATCCCACGCACGTACCACGGTCCCTCACTGCGTGGGTACAGCCTCGTCCCGAGTAACGGCCCACACTGCCCGATGAGGTTGAGGATCGCCATGCTGGCTCCCTTGCCTTCCTCCGCGGGTCGGTTGTCCATCGTCCAGGTGATGATGAGGGTGATGGCAGAGAAAAAGCCTGCCGTGGCGGGGTAGACACAGGCGTATCGGATAAAGGTCTGGAGGCCTGTGGACATGTGCGCGTGGTAGTAGCCTGTAGCTGCGATTGCGAGGTAGGCGAATGAGGATATCAGAGCGTGGCCGATGAGATAGGGGCTTCGGGTTCTGTGACGGTCGGATAGGTAGGCTGTTGCAAGCACTACCACGAAGGCGATGAGGTAAGGGGGTGCGCAGAGGGCTTGCGCGGAGAGGGAGGAGTAGCCCATGCTGTGAGAGCGTGAGCGTATTGATTGGCAGGGGTTCTCTGATGTCAGGGGCTTACTCTTCTATGATGGTTGGCAGGAACACGGGCATAGAGCTGAAAGCGACGTTGCAGCTGAAGAACATAAACTATAGCAGCTGCATGTCAGTTCGACTCAAAGGAGGAGAGATATGGCTTCCACGAACAGCTGTCACATAAGATTTGGGATCTGCCAGCGCCTTGACAACTTCCCTCCAATTGAACTTCCTGGAATCGGGCCCACGATAGTCGGATCTGCTCTCTCCCAGCCGCAGCTTGGCTACCATTCTCTGTCTGGGCTCAAGAAAACGCGCACTCTCGGGCGAGTCGGGTATCAGTATCCATGAAAAGACAGCGACAAGCACACTGGGGAATCCTTCGACCAGGAAGAGAGTTCGCCACGGTGCAATGGGGCCATTGCTGCTGACCTTGACAATCAGCCATGCGAGACTACTCGCGAATGAAGTCGCCAAGGGAGCCGCTGAGATAAACAGTCCGTTTCGTAAAGCGAGTTCTTCCCTCTTGTAGAACAGGGAGAGATAGAACGGCACTCCAGGGCCAAATGCCGCTTCCGTGATGCCTAGCAAGGCACGCAGAATCACGAGGGTGCTGAATGAAGTAGCCAGTGACTGGAAGGAAGCAACGAGACCCCATCCGCATACACACAGAGAGATATAGATGTGCGGAGGAAAGATCCGGTACATGAGGGTCATCCACTCAAAGAGGATATATGTGATGTAAAAAGCTGTCAAAAGCCATTCATATTGTGAAGATGAAAGATGCAAATCGTCAGTGAGTCCAGCGATTTTTGCATTTCCAATATCTGCAAAGCAGTCAGCTATTTGATGACCGTTCTGAAGCAGTAACACACTCACTGGAACGATCCAAGAACGAGAGCAGGTAGAGAAGGGCCAGAAATGGAACCAGCTTGCGGTCAAATCTCTTCACGACTTCCTTTTCTTCAGCTACCGTGTACTTTGTAGCGGCTACGGCCCTTTTGGGTTTCGCTTCCTTGTCGTCATATGAATCGTAGCCTTCATCTTGGCCCTCATCGTCGGAAATGTAGTCCGCTTCAGCGCGAAAGTCCGTTTGCAATCTTAACGACCGAGCTGGTGGTCGTTTGGAACTCGAAGATGCATTTTCATTGTCGGATGCTCCGGAATCTGGCGTATACTGCGCGCTAGCCGGTGTCCCTGTGCTGGAGCTATAGGATGCTGCCTCGGTCGGCTGCAGATGATAGGAGGCCATCTACGGAGTAACCGATGTAAGAAATGTCCGTGTTTTGTGGCTCAAGGATCCATTTGCTTTCGAGGGGAATCTCAGCAGCCAGGCAGAGATATCTGAGACTTTGTGATCCACCAAAATCTATCACTTATCATAAGATCATCTGACATTGGGAGTTTAGACCTGGTAGGATTAACTTTAAGTACAGGGGGGAGACAAGCACAGGCTTGGCGGTGCACGTGGCACGCACTAGGAGAGTTGATTTGCGCCAAGGACAGATGCTGCACGGCTAAGATCCACCGGAATCCTCTATCAAAGTGTCGGGGCACCGGAACTCAACACGGGCTATGGATGAAGAACGGCCAGCCTTAGATTCAAGTTGTGTCAATCGGATATCATAGTCATTGACAGTGGCTTGAGAATTCATCCAGTCTTCACTGACTCACCAGTCAACATTCGAACCCCGGTGCGACGGACGATTGATTGACGAACCATGAGTTAAGAAGAGGCATCACCTTCAGGAACCATGGGACTCCACCGCCGAGGTCTGTAAGAGTCGATCAGAAATCGGGCACGCTTTTTAGGGCGCAAGTATTTGGGGGCCGGGGGAGGCTTCTCATCGAAATGGCGCCCTCGACCACCTGTAAGAGCAGTAGCTTTATCTCTCATGATGGCAAACCACTTTTCAAGGTCCGGAATAGCCTCATGGTCCTTCATATTGTTGGCACGGAGGTATGCCAGGGCGTTTTCGGCTGAGTCTCTCACAAATCGAACGGTGTTTAGATCGCTTGCTGTTTCCTTTCGTCTTCTGTTGATGTGTTCATCTCTGGCTTTGAAAAAGACGTCAAGAAGCCGCTCCGCTCGACTCCGGACGCTGTCGTCATCTCTCTTTCTCTTCAGGGAAGCTTTCGTATCTGCTTTACGGGGATTGTAGTCCTTCATCGGCTTTTTGCCGGCCGTGTGGGCTCGCTCATTCCGCCTGTTCTCGCGATCATGGTTCTGGGTATCCGCTCCACCGGGGACAACATTTTTTCTTTCAGGCTTTGCTTCACGAGACTCTTCGGACAAAGACTTGGTATCTTCTGAGTGTATGCCAGACTCCTTTGTCGGTTCGCTTGTGGTGGTGGTACTGGCGTGGACTTGTCCATCCAACTTCAGGATAGGCTCTTCCGAATTGGGGGACTCTGTGTTGGAATCCGTCGATGAGCGCACTGAATCATTAAACACACCGGTCAGTATAATTGAATAAAAAACTTGGGAACAGTTTCTGCGGACAAACTTTTGGTCAAAGCCTGATGCAGCCCAAGACGCTTAGTGGCCACATCCAGACTGTGCGAAGTGTTGGAAATAGGAACAATCCCGAGATACTCAGTCAGGTAGAGCTCAAGGACGCTCAGTTCCGCAGGCTCGTCTCCATTTTTTGACAGCGTCAACAGAGCTTTATCGTAGATGGTGACCTGACCATCATTGAAGTCCTGAGAGCGGCATCTGGCCAGTGAAACCTGAAGTCGGACAGTGCTGACGAGGAGATCCGATTTCTCAGTGCTTTTGAGAAGATCGCGGAGGACGGGACTGGGACATTTGATCTTAAAGTATTTGTGCACCAGCTCATCGACCTTTTTCTGCTGGCTGATTCCCCTGCGGCGGCTGCTCTTAGGGGACGAGTTTTCTGGTATCCAGGATGAAGCCATTGTGCTTAGAGATGCTCTTTGGGACGTCGGTTGGTGAGTTTATAGAACGACGAGTAAAGGTCTGATTGAAAGGAAGGAATGATGATTAGATGAAGACTAGCTCCATGAAAACAGAATGAGTGCGCTGTTGGCGTCGTAGCTCAAGGAGATGAAAGGAGAACTTCGGTGGCTGTGGAAAGTGGAAGAAGGCTCTATAGACAAGATGTGTTTGTCACAATTCAACAAATGACTAGTGGGAAGAGAGCAGATGCATTTGACTTGAGATGAAGAATAAGACGAAGCCCTTTGGATCCATCCTTATTGAGCAATCAGCCTCAATGCTCTAGGATCTGTCCGTCAAGACTTTACACAATAGAAGTCTACGGAGCTAAACCTCCGTCAATGGGAACACTTTCCTAAAAGAATTATCAAGACCTTTTGGTCTAATCAACGTCTCTCTTGCTCATATTGTTCTTTACATTGCTCACTCAAAGGTATTGACTGCATTGACACCGCACCTATTGCCCGACACCTTTCAATCAATAAGACTCGTAAAGAGTTAATAGGGAATGTGAAAGCATCATTTTCAAAGATACGATTTTGTAACAAAAGCAATGCAGAATAGTTAAGAGGTATCCTAGAAGTAGCAATAGCATTATGGGATTAGTACAAACTGTAATCTGTCATGAGATCCTGCGGCAAAATATCAAGTCAATTCCAACATTAGATCCTTCGCAAGCCAACGCTTAATTCCGCTCTTTCCAAATCTTCTCAATCTCCTCAACAAGAACCGAAACCTGACTACCTCTTCCTCCTTGGACACAGTCTTTCCACACGCCGTCGTCACGAACACACCACACATGCTCATCTAGCCGGACGGTACAGCTAGTTCTGACACCAAGTGCCTCGCTGTACAGGGCACTCTTGCGGAGCAGCGCAATACCGCTAAGGGGATCCTTGTCCCCTCCGTCATGGCCAGGGTCATCGTCCTGCTGGCTGGCACACTCGTTCAAGGCATCAAAATCAATGCCATGCTCTAAAGCGCATTGCTCGACGAATGAGCGCTCCGGGATCTTCTCATAGGAACTGATCAGGCAGTTGGCGAAGCCCAGGGAGCGGATCGTTGGGGTGCGATGCGTGCTTCGTCCCTCCGGTGGAAAAGGGAGATTCGCAGCACAGAGAATGAGCATATCCCCTATGCATTCAGCAGGACCATGTTTGCATACTACATCAGTAGACTTGTTGGATACACTGTAGTTTGCTTAGCTTGCAGGCCAGTTCCGTCTTCCGGGCGGAAGGAGCTTACCTTGCAATGAATGACAACCCAAAGTCTACTTTGTCACTGATTTGCTCCATGGTAGGAACTACCAATTTTTGCAGACAATCCCGGGCGTCTGGACATTTGCTCATGATGTGAGCTTCCAGCGAAACCTTATTATCAACCGCTGATGCCTCAGGCTTGTGCTCCATCAGCGGCACCACATCAGCTTTTGTGAGGGGGGAAGAGAAGCCATCATCCAGCCTCTTCGACGAAGGATGACAGGAATGCGATAAAAATTTTGAGATAGGTGTAGGAAACCAGCTGAGAACACTGAAAAGGACGAATCCAAGCGAAATGACTATTAGAAAACGCCGCACGAAATGTGATGCTGGTCGGTCGCGGCGGGAATGGCTGGAGGCAGCCTCAGCAGATTCGATCGCGCCAAGATCATGGAGGCCTTCCCTCTGATCCTGAAACTGTACTTTCTCCATAACTATCCGTACTTCACCGACCGTTAACAACAGCTATGTTATAGTTGATGCGGGGAAGAGGTTAGATTCGGAGGCTGTGGGGGAAGAAGGGTCATTGATGGATTAATTAATCGATCGATGTGACTGTGGAGGCCCGTAGAGAGCAACACTGAGGACGGGAGCACAGAGCTGTGAGCTCACTCAGCGCCTAAAGCTAATTAAGTGGCGTTGCAAGGTGACCATTACCACATCCATTATTAGGCCAACTACCGACTCCTGTACGCATATCTGGTGATTCAAGACTGCCAGCCTCAACCTTTCTGTTCGTGGATCCCTTGATCTTCAACTACCTTATTTCTTGGCGATTACAGGGGAAACCATCAACGTCTTCATCTTGAAACGCTCGAATATAAGCTAGAGGCCAGATGCCACAACTATCAATAGGCATCCAATGCTTGAATGATACATACCCCTGTTCGCCGTCATATCTTGAGATTGCAACGTTGTATCTGTTTAAATTAAAGCATAATATTCGTAACAAGGGCCCTGACTCAGGTGTTACGTCGCCTGCTCCAAGGGATGCGACACCTTATGCAATAATAATAGCGACATTATCTGTAACTCGATAGTCTCAAGTTCGGCCGAAATAGTGCCGAAAACATGCCACCGATTTGGCCCACCAAAGCAACCAAGAGGGAGGAGAAGTCCTCCATTTCTTGTAAAAGCCTCATGCCCCACTGGCAGCTGCTTTTTTGGGCTTATCAACTTCACCAATAGGTAGCACAAGGTAGATACACAAGTTAGAGACCCAGCTGTCATGCTTGCTGACACCAGCCGTATTAGTGATCAACAAATAGCAATTAGATACAAGATGGTTCCCATAAGCGAAGAGATATCTCAAGATCGTTGGAGGCTTGGAGCTACGGCATCGTTTGACGCCCTATAGGCAGCTAGATCCTTGGCTTGAAGGCTAAGTATACGAGACGAGCATTTGGGTAAATTGTCCTTGCTCATTCCAACAACCGGCCACAGATCGCAGTACCGTAAACCTTCAGTGCTATGCCTGGCACCATAATAGGGCATTCAAATGAAAATCCTCTGTTCTGAGATCAGCGCCGCATCAGAAGACAGCCTCCCAATCCGAGGTCACCACATCAAGGAGAATGTCCGAAGAGGTCGAGCTAGACTTGTTCTCTGCTATGTTCGTAGTTAATTAGTATGCTCAGATATTGACTAGGACGTATCGGAATGGCCGAAATCCAGATTACCATCCTTGCAAAAGTCGAGACTCATGGAAAACATAATTCCGTCTCTTTTTGCTTTTCATCGGTAAGCTAAATCCCGAGGCGTTTCCGAAAGGTTCCAGGACCACTCTGCTGGCTTCAGCGCTCTGAGTTCTCGCAGTTCCTTCAGGCGTCAAGGTTGTCGTTACCGCTCAACACAGCACATCTGTACGTTTCCTGATCATGTCTCTTATATGACTGGCAAGGCGCGACATCTCAGGTTCAGAAAGGACGACATCCTTGACTATGCTGGACAGAAGGTCGATAAACCGAGAAAGATGCCTGTCGTGAGCATTTTCAGTCGGGAGCGTAGCAGAATGGCTCATTGTTCATCCATGATGCTATTTGATAATGAGCTGCTCAAACCCGAGTCTCAAAGTATACGTGCGCACCCTGTCACAGATATCACCGGACAGTTGGCCCAACTCCGTCGACTCGATGACGCCGACGTCACTCCGATTTCGGAGTCTGCTAGCCTACACACCAAAAAGCGTGATACGTACCTAGTCTATGCGGGTGTGATACATTGCTACTGGTAGGTAGCTACCTTAATGTGGTCACTGTAATTGCTGTCGACCGGAATGAGGTTTCTCAAACTGCAAGCGGACTATCTCATGTTCACTGAGAGAGCCAGTTGACCTTAGAACGGGGTACTAAGATGTCCATGAATGGGCTTAGGGCAAAGGGTCAAAAGAACCGATCGGGAGTTGTCAGTTGTCACTCCGGAATAGCATGTTTCTTAAGGGACCTAATTCATAGCGCCATTGTGACCCACGTGTAGAAGCCCTGGCGAATTGGGGAACTCAGCTTTGAGATTCGAAGATAGAGAGGCTCGATTCTTAGTTCTCAATGTGGTCTTACAGAGCAGCGGATGAAAAGGTTGGAGACTGGTTGCCGTGGACTAAATTCTCGATACTAGTACCTCTGATAGTAAGTCTGCATAAGTATTGTAAGGAGACCCACCGTTTACCACCACATGGCTTCTTTGGGTTGATATAATCCGTGCTCGTGTCCCGCAGCCAGCCAGTCTCAAGTGAGCAGTAGCTCGACTGCTCCGTAATAGCTAGTATTGCCGGCGATTTTAACTTTTATATTCCTTTTTCTTTTCGTCTCGTGGCTTTTGGCTTTCAACCGTCGCTTAAATGGAGGGACTGAGAATGTGTCGAACCAGTGGAACCACACTCAAGGGGGCCAGTGCTCCGGCGTCGTGAAGCGAGAATAATGCTCTGTCCAAAGTTGACTACCTTGTGAGAGACTGGCAATAGAAACAAAATTATCATAGGTGTAGATAGAGGAGTCGCTAATAATAATGTCAAGCGGAGAGGAATCAATATGAGGAAGATGACTGGAGGGCGGAGAACTGGTAAAAAAGAAAACATCAACAATCAAACAATCAACAGCATGCGAGCTAAACGATGGAGTCTATTTTACCACTGAAGGTGTTAATCTAACCAGTGCCGGAGAATATCCGAGTCACCCACGGTTGTTGTCAACCACATACGATGTCCCAGGCTGTCATTGCTCAGATTGATTCAGCAGGGTCACATCGTCTCGTGCCGAAGGTCGCATTTGCTCCATCTGCAGTGGCTTTGAAGCAGTGAAGCTACTACGTACCACGGAGTACTCCTAAGATCTTCCCATCTTTCCCACTCTTATTTCCCTCCGCCCCTCCCTCCAGCAGCACCTCAGCGTTGAATAATTACCTTTCCTTTTCTTTTCTCTCCCGTGTTGTGGAGAATAATGGCTTCGTATGCGCTGGCTGGTCCTGTTTAGACTCTTTTCTTACTCCCTCTAGCTAGTCTGTCTATACTTAATAGCCCTTTCTTTCCTCCATCGCATAGTCGCTCCTCGACATAACCGGCTTCTGCCTCAACTGTGGGGAATCAGTGTTGATCACGTCCACATCTAAGGTGTTGACGATAGGTAATTTATTTCCTCCGTCCTTCTTTATGCCAATAGTTTTCTTTTCTGCGCGCAGTGACTATTCTGCTCTGTGGCCACTGCCCTTGCCATTATTCCTTGGTATCCTGCAGAGCCTTGCTGTCATTGTCACTTCAGGGTGTTCTTTGGATCGAGGCAGACCTCACAACTTGTGGCTAACTGATTCCTAATTTAGAGATTTAGATCGTGCAGGTCAACTTGCTCCCTTGATCTTTCGCCCTCGCACCGGAGCTTCCCCTTCTCCGCAACAAGAGCTTCGAAGGACCCGTTCAGATCCATGCGCGTTGACGATCGAGCCCTCAATCCTGTTTCCAGCTCAAGCTCCTCATCCGATCGCCCTGTGGCAATTCACGGGAGCGGAATCAACCAGACCTGTCCCTTCCATTGAGACATGCGCGCGCTGTGCAGGGCATAAACTCAATACATACATTTGCGTCCTATGAGTCTACTCGAATAAGTTTTTTCGGATTTCACGCATTCCACTTGATCCGGTCATTTCGCATTCTCACTCACCCAGGAGATTACAATGGCGCCGATGAACGTGATGGAGGCGGAGAACAGCAGGGATGAGGAACATGATATACATGAAGACGCAGTCGAAGTCGAGGAGGATGAGGAAGAAAATGTGTCCGAGCTCGATCCTTCACAGAAGGAGTACCTAGAGTACCAACGTAGGCTCGATGATTTTCTGTCACCTTTGGTCCTTGACGAAGCAGTCCTCTATAGACTTGCACGTCGCTTCTCGAGCACATACCGCCACCTAGCATTGAACTCGGACCAGCAGTTTTTGCCTACTCCTGTCACTAGACTGCCCACGGGTCTTGAGACCGGTCGTTATCTGGCTATTGATGTTGGAGGAAGCAATCTACGAGTCGCATTCATTGAACTCCTGGGGGAAGCGGCTGACTCCGATATCCGTTCAACAGACGCTTCGGAGAGATCAAGGGATACCCTTCGAAAGGCACAAAGACAACGAGTCAGACGGACACTAGAGAAAGCGTGGCCCATACAGGAACATCTGAAGATGGATAAGGCGGAGGACCTCTTCGCATGGATTGGGGACTGCATTGCGGAAGTGGTCGCCGAAAGCTTGACATCGGACGCCACGAAAGGCAATATTCCCCAAGAATTAGACATGGGAATCACGTTCAGTTTTCCTATCATGTGAGTATTCTTGCCATGAAGAGTCATTGCCTATTGTTATTTTGTCTTGGGAACTCTGGTGTAATTCAGTTTGACTGACAAAGTGATACAGGCAAGAGTCGCTCGCGGAAGCTACGCTGATGCCGATGGGCAAAGGGTTCGCCATCACCTCGGATCTCAATCTTCGCAACATCCTGCTTCACGGTTACGAGAAGCACACCAGACGTCCTGACGAGGACGAGCCCTCGAGCAAGCGCCGGAAACTCTTCGCACTACCTAAACTCAAGATTGCCGCTATCACAAATGATGCCGTCGCTACGCTTGCATCTCTGGCTTACTCCGTGAAGTCCCTGCCCAACAGTCGTGTCGCAATGGGTATCATTGTAGGCACAGGCTGCAACGCCACAATTCCTATGAAGCTTGAGTCTCTACATGAATCTAAAGCGGAACATGTAAAGTCAAAGAACCCGGAAGCAAAAGAAACAATTGTCAACACTGAATGGACCATTTCGGGCGCCGCCCCTCCTTTGAAAGAGCTCAATATCACAACAAAGTGGGACGAAGAGCTAGACAAGGCATGTGCACGTCCTGKGTTTCAGCCCTTCGAGTATATGACCGGTGGCCGGTACATCGGAGAACTCATTCGGCTGATACTCTTTGACTATCTTACAAACGTCGTTGAACTGGAGAAGAAACAGCTTCCCGCAACGCTCGTCCAGGAATATGCTCTGACCACATCATACGTCTCAGACAAAGTCGCTCGTCCGCAACGTGACGAAGATCTCGCTGCGGAACTGAATCGATCTTTACCTCCACCCGAGAGTAGCGAATGGTGCTGGGATGCTTTGACGGCGGGCGCTTTTCGGAAGATTGCTCGGGTCGTACAGAGTCGATCTGCCGGGTTAATAGCTGCGGCAGTGGTTGGATTACTCGCCTGTGCACAAGAGATCGAGTTGAAGGTGGATAGCAATGAGAACTCACCGCAAAGTTCAACTGCTGCATCGCCCCAGCGCAACGGTAGCGCTAAACTGCAGGCTATCTTGAACGAAACTACATCGTCAGCCTTGGAGACAGGCACTGCAAGGAATGGTCAAAGGCCGATTGTTCCAGTTCTACTGCCTACCCCAACACCTGCAGATTGGCAGTCGGGGCCTGAAGAGCTTGTTGTTGCTTACACTGGCGGAATAATCCAACACTATCCCAATTTCAAGGAGATGTGTCAGCAGTACATTGATCGACTGATCATGAGAACCGGTCCCCAGAAGAGCGGTAAATCAGTATTTTTGCGAGAAGCTTCGGATGGAGGAGTCATTGGTGCTGGCGTGCTTGCTGGAATGGTGAACAACGGTTAGAAATGCCTGGTTCTCCAGTGAACGTTCAAAATGAATTTTAACGAGAGATTATGATTATCATGCGGTCTCAATCTATTCTCGAACTGGCGCTATCTGCAGAAACCTCGGTTTTCACTGTTTTCCGAGATAGAGGGATCTTGGTGTTTTTTTTTTCTGTCTTTTGTTCAACAGGTCTTAGAGTGAGTTATTTGCTCCATTCTTTTGAAGTTGAGTAATTGAACTTTTTGAATTTTCATTCTCAGCTTTGAATGTGCCGGGTTTCAGAGGTCTGTATTATGACCGTCTCTGTATGCACAGTTTTATTTTTTTTTGGGAGGGTAATCAACTTCAAAGACGGTTCTTCCTCGATCTCATCAAACCAGCTCCGCAGGATATCTGGGTTTGCTGGGGGCTATCCTTTTCCAGCACTCAGTCAGACGCGATACCGAGTCTCAGGATATAGTTACTGTGAACAGTATTCACGAGACCGGGATAACGCAACCTCAACACTGTCGTGTCAAGATCAGAAGATCTCCGACGACACATAAGCCGACATGGAGTAACTGCAAGCGAAGAGAAGGCCCGGCGGCGTATGACCGCAATCCATCTCAGTCCAAAGGACTGCTCGATAGGCCGCACAGCATATTTGGCTCACAACACACTAAGCAAACAGCGACGCTAGATGGCGCATATCAGACTCTCGCCTACATGTCCATGCACGCTAGCTCAGAAATTCGCGGATTTAGCCTAGTTGCGCGCTCAGATGTAGCGAAACATGTTGTTCCGAACACTCCGTTTCATAGCCGTTGGTTTGCCATCCTCGTATTCGATACCAGAGGCACCGCCCTCACCAGACATCTGCTCGAGGCGTTCACGAAGCTCCTCATCAGCTTGAGCAACACTCTTGGTTACTTTGGGTTTTGATTCCTGGCTGCCGTTGCGAACCTTCGATGGATCCACCGACGAGGTCTGAACTTTGAGAGGATTTAGCAATGCAATATGACAATCGCTAGAGGTACATCGTGCACGAACCAGTTTTAGCATCTGACTTAGACGACTTTTGCGCCGTGTAGGATAAGAGCCGCTTTCCAGAGCAGTTGCGTGATATACGCACAGGCAGGCGTCCTGCCATGCACGAAACTTGTTGTACATTCATGATCTTCATGTGCCAAGCGACAGAATTTTGAGATTCAGCTCCATCAGAAGAAGTAGATATTTCAAGTTTTGTACCTTCCTCGGGTGTTATTCTGTTGACACTGATGTAATCATCAATACTCCGTAGTGATGTCAATATCACCTGACATTTGCAATAATATATCACGTGATAATAATCCCCCGCGATACGTTCAACCAGCCCAGCCTTGACTCTACTGATTCATCTTTTCGCACCCCCTCACTTGATCGCTCACATTTGAATGACAACATGAGCGCTCAGGCATACTATGAGTTGTATCGCGGGAGCAGGTACTGCACACTAAGCAGAAGCTGTGTTGCTTTTCACTAACAATTTTACCCAGTCTCGGTCTCTCCCTTACCGATACGCTCGATGACTTGATCAACGAAGGCCGCATTGAGCCCCAGCTCGCCATGAAGATTCTCTCCACGTTCGATCGCGTCATTACAGAAGTTCTTGCGGATAAAGTGCGCGCGAGGCTTACGTTCAAGGTAGCTTCTTCCGTTTGCAACGTGCTGGACCGATCTGGGGAACTCGGAGGAATAGATCGGCTTTTATGAGAACATTAACGGTGACTGACTTACCCTTTCTTGACACTAGGGACACCTGGATACCTATCGGTTCTGTGACGAAGTGTGGACATTCCTTATCAAAGACGTTACTTTCAAGTTGGACAACCAGACGACTGTGACGGCAGACAAGGTGAAGATCGTGAGCTGCAATAGCAAGCGGCCTGGAGAGGCGTAAACATCTTCGTATGGATTTACTCATGGCGTTTTTACTGGGCTATTTTCTCGCCAGGCGTTTTTCTTTACACGATGTTACCATTTGATTTGGCTGGGCACCTGGTTTTTCCTTCATCTTTGGGGTGTTATCCTATCGGCGTTCGGGCAATAACTCGTTTTGCATCACGAATACCTCAATAGTCATATCAAATCAAGATACCCTGATTCATCTACCTTTCTCATCCTGCGATGAGCTGAAAGTTAGCTGAAAGTTGAGTTGGCCCGCAGTTTCCTGCTACTTGCTAGGTAGACTAAATACCATCGCGGAGAGCGGGGCGGAACGCCTCCCGCGCTCCTTGGTTGATCGATTGCGGAGACAAAATTATAGTAAGATCCCGACATCGACGACCCGACAACTGAACGATCGGAGCTCCGTGATGTCGCGTTTCGCCGTCAGCGGAAATTTTCAAGAATACAACTCAATATGCCTCGAACTCTTCCGTGGCTTACGGGCAGCGGTACCAGAGCCGAGGACGCAAAGAGTTCACCGCGTCGACGTGAAGTGAAGCATGAGAAAGGTTCGGACCACGGCGCTGAGGAGACTCCAAAGGCATACAAATCTACGTCTCGCGGAGACAAGCGTGATTTTTTTCGGTCATGTAAGTAAAAGGAGATTCAGGATGTGTACGAGTCCTTTCTGATAAGATCTACGCAGCTCCGAGTCCTCCAACGTCTCCAATCCAGCGATGTCCCTCAGAAGAGTACGCACTACAGATCAGCCCTGGGACTGGCGGAGATTTACTGATATACAAACCACAGATACCTGATTGAAGGGTTCGATAAAGACGATATTTACATGATGGTCGAAGACGAGTTCTACGCCATGGCGCAGACGTTCACTCAGCACCTCCACTATGCGGAATACGTGAAACGTAAGAAGGAGGCAAAACTACAGAACGCAGCAGCAATTAAAGACCTTGCCCGACCTACTGATGGCACCACGCCGAAAAGCGAAGAGATGAAGAGGAAGGAGGCGGCCGCCGTCCTCTCAGCTCGTCAAAAGGCGGGCTTGGAGAAAATCGGGGCCAAGCGGCCGCAGCTGGACTCCGACAAGGAGGAAGACGACACAGACGAAGACGATGCGCTTGCGGGTACCTCGCTAGGGTACCTGATGACGAGTCCACGGAAGGCTCGCTCGCTAGTGGGCATGCAGGGTGTTAAATCGTCCACTAGGGCGGCTGCTGGGTTTGCCCAGGCGTCTGGGTCTAAAAGGCAGAAGACGAATCCTGATGCGCATATCCATTCTTCACCGAAGGCTGAAGTTGAAGGAGACGATCATGCGGCGGATGCAACGGCTACGGAAGATGACGACTTAGATGTGCAGATCACCAAGACTTCCACAAGACCGACAGCAAAGAAACATTCTATTGGATTAGATCTCAGCTCACCAGTCTTAAGGACCGGTTCTTCGACTCCCCAGAATACTGGCAATGATGATAAAGGGAAGAGACCCGTCCGCGTTATTCACAGAACTCCACCATTGGGTGGATCGAGAAAAAAAGTATTCTTCGATGACTTTGACGAGCTTCCAGAGCCGTCGAATCCAAGCGTTCCGGCACATGGCCAGCTCAAATCTCACACAGCTAATAATACAAAAGATCCGAACGAAAGTGTTGTAAATTCGAAAAAATCCCGTCTCAATGAAGTCCCAACATTCTTGTTTTGAGCACGAAACAGCGGACAATTCTTCCAAGCTCCTAGAGATATCCATTGGCGACATGCTTCGAAATGTCCAACCATCCTAAGTCGGATTCAACATCCTTGTCAAAGCGAGATCACTCAGGGCAAGAAGACGGGCCCACAAGTTTAATGCTCAGCCTCCGGACATGCTGCTTGATCTTGTCCCGCGTGGACGGCTGACGCTGAACTCCCTTGACTGTGTCCTTCTCTAGTGCCGAGCCATGACTATGCAATGTCAGCGCGCTGGGTAGAAAAATCGTCAGAACTAGTTTCAATATTATGATTTAGCGATGGGACTAACTCGTCGTCCGGGAAGAAGTTTGGCAGCTCTTCCTTGCGGAAGTTCGTTGGTGGGCCCTGCGAACAGTTTGTCAGATTTTGGCTCGAGGAATCTGAGGGCTTTGGACTTACTATCTCCAAGACCTTATGTGTCTTCTTCTGAAATGGTGATTTCACGAATCGGAGAATCTGTCTGAAGCACTCCATAGTTGGGACAAGTTGGTAATACAATTGATGGGAAAGAAATGGAAAATGAGTGTTGAAATCCGGTTGACCGCTACAACCTAGGATATATGCAAATATTTTCGCAACGAGAAGACCAGAAATGACGACAAGAAGAAGGCGGCAAGAGGGCACTTTCGCAGGCTGCTTTGAACGAATGACGTTATACCAAACGATGGACTTTCGACTGAAACGCTTGAAACAATACAAAAATTCACGATAAATGAAGGACTGGCCGATGCTCTATGACATCAAGGCTATGGATTGGAGCCAGAAAGTCGAAGTTGACACGGACATGGTGCATTCATATATAGTGAATGTCCTCTAAGGAGCTGCAGCCTACAGTACGGCCTGGATGAACAGTTTCCGCCTGCAGCAATGTAGGCTAAGCTGATCGGTAATCTCTGTGGAACGACGAGCATTGCGATAGTCTCGAGGGAAAACTCTGTGAAGCGCGCTGTCACACATTCCTTTGACAGCTGTCCCCTCGCAGCAGTGCTGCAGTTGCGGGTTCTACGAGCGTGACTCGTCCCAATAGGATGGCCTCGACGAAGCCATGGAATTTTCTGCCAAAGAGTTCTTGGACCCTTCTTGACGAACTCTTCCTMATTCGATCTTCGTCAAATTTCGATGAAAATGCAGGGCAACAAAATTTCCAGGCCTTGCATACTTACGCCGCTGTCATCGGCTCCTTGGAAGCGTGTTGATAACACATCTAAGCAACAGGCTTCCGCGTCTGGTATATGGACTGGATACGTGCGGCAACCTCCCCCCTGCGCCTAGATTCCTGAGTACGCAGTTGTCACTCGCTGGTCTAAAACGTTTACCGATTTGCTGGGCCTTTATTCCTAACTTCCCAGTGGCTTATTCGACGTGTTCCAGTCCAACGTCCTAGATTTCTCGGAGAGCGGCAGTATGCATATGCACCTTTTGATGTGCATAGAATGTGCCATCATATCATCATATCCCTAGGCTGATAAAAATAAGCCCATAGCGATAAGATCCAAAGGTAATATACCTTTCCTTTTACTTGGGAAAAGGTCAGCTTGTCTGTTTCTCAGTAGTATTGTGCTCATCATAGGCACGCTCATGGCAGTATGAACTTTTCGATCACTTAGGGACATGCATTAAACTGTTCCATCTGTCGTAACTATTATTGCCGCCATGGCGATCTACATTCCTATGTCAGTCCGTTTTTTCGCCTCCACACGCGACGTGTATGAGGGTCGGCCGAGTTCAAAATTGGGCCGAAGACAGCACAACACCACTGGGCTACCAAACCTCCTTCTCTCGTGTATGGTCATATGCTGTATGGCGCTGCGCGATCCAGAAAGGGGAACGAGGATTGTGCCTACGAATGTACATATCCCTTGCTTCAGCAACTATGCGGGCCCCTCCTCAGCATTGACATCCCTGTCGCCCATCTGGTCGATTGATTCCCGTGTCTGATTGTCTGCAATTTGGTTTGTTTCTTTCTTTCGATTGGCCGATGGGCGAGGGATCCGCCTGCCTTGAAGCTGTAAAGGGAAGGTTTCAACACCGAAGCGTCGAATTATCCCTTGGCATGTGCAAAAATTGCGAGGCCTCGGGAGATTGCAGTAGATGTTCCCTCTGCTTTCTCGCCCTATCATGACGGTTATGGCGTATTATTACCTAGGTCTATCTCAATTTCGCCCATAGGCCTGACTTCTTGATATTTCCATGCTCATGGCTGTCAAAGAAGGATAGCAATCCATGTATGAGTTGTCTATTTCGGATAATCCTTGACATGATAGCTCTTGAGCTTGACGAATTGCTCGAACCCGAACCTGCTCAGCGTGACACCACGACCTGAGTTCTTCCAACCGGTCCATGCAAGATCCTACAGACATGTCAATGGTCATCTTCGTTGAAATATGAAAAAGCAGTGTGTATGCTACTTACCGGACTAGGGTAGTCAGATCTGTTGATGAAGACCGTTCCCGCCTCGACTTGCTCAATGAGATCCTCAGCCTTGGAGACATCCTTCGTCCAGATGCTTGCAGTGAGTCCGAACTCGCTGTCGTTCATAAGCTTGATTGCCTCCTCGTCGTTCTCAACCTTCATCACGGGGAGCACAGGGCCAAAAGTCTCCTCCGTCATGACCCGCATATTGTGATTGACGTCCGTCAGCAATGTCGGCTTGACGTAATTACCATTGGCGGGAAGATTGTCGAACGTCTCGTTGGCAGGTGTCTCGTCCCGAGCACCCTTCTCGATCGCCTCAGCGACATGCGCCAAAATCGTCTCCTTCGCGCGCTTCGAGATGACGGGCCCAATCTGCGTAGTCTTCTCCGACGGATCCCCAACACGATACTTGCTCAACACCTTCTTCACTTCGGCGATGAACGTCTCGTAGATGTTCTTGTGGACGTAGACCCGCTCAATCGCGCAGCAGCTCTGGCCACTGTTGAAGATTGCCCCATCAACAATCTCCTCCGCCGCCCACGCCACATCCACATCGTCCCGCACATAAGCCGGATCCTTGCCACCGAGCTCGAGCCCAACACTGACAATGCGATCCGCTGCGGCCTTCTGAACCGCCAACCCACCAGCCACAGACCCAGTGAAGCAAATGTGGTTGACCTGAGGCGACCGAACAAGCTTCTCGAGCATCTCAGGCGATCCGCAGTGGGTGTACTGGAGAACATTCTCCGGAAGACCAGCCTCGGCGAACGCGGCAGCAACCTCCTCCACGACCGTGGGCGTCTGAGGCGAGGGCTTCAAGATAACAGCATTGCCCGCCAGAATCGCCGGGATCAAGCTGTTGACCAGAACCAGGTAGGGATACTGCAATACAAATCACCAGTCAGTAAAACACACCCCTCCTCAAACAATCAACAGGAATTGAATCCAACATACGTTCCACGCAAATATAATCAGCACAACCCCCACCGGCTTCCGCTTAATAAACCTCTTGAACCCCTTCTCCTCCTCCCCAGGAACAATCCCTTCCTCACCCAGCACCGAGGGCGCAATCCGATTCAAGTACTGACTGCGCTTCACAGCCGTCGATATCTCAACACCAGTGTACGAAATCGGCCGCCCCATTTGCTCCGTCAACTGGTGCGCAAGCTCATCTTTCCTCTTCTCGAGGACGGCTAGTGCCCGATCGACGATCTGCTGTCGTTGCTTGAGGGTTGTAGATTGCGAGAAGGAGCGGAATGCCTCCTGGGCGAGTTCGGGGATGCGCGTGATTTCATCATTGGAGATACCCGTACGGGTAAGGATCGGGCGGTTGGTGGAGGGAGAAATGGTTGTAATGGTCTCTGCGGACATTGTGCTTCGTGTAGATTATGGTGTTTCGTTTGTATAGGTCGGCGGGAGAGCAGTCGGGGGTGGAAGGAAACAGTTTATATGCCGAGGGGTATCTTCGAGCGTTATCTATGCTGGAGGGGTGCCTTGTCACGTTATCGGGTGGAGCTCCCCCACTGGTGGCGGGGTCCACTAATTCCTGGATAGTCTCCGTCGAAGGGGGACTGATATCTATATTCCCCGGCCTGGATGACCCGAAACTTATCCGGGGCGGCGTTGATTATGGACAGGCTGTGCTAAGGTACCTGAAGATAGAGTTTAGCATACTAGAGGGACAAGGAGTAGACATATTCCACTATCTCTATTAGATTATCGCGTCGTCGCATACAACTATGCTACAAAATCATTCCATCAACTATGCTACTCGTAAAGACCCTGCTTAGAGGTTCTGGTAGATTTGTAACTGATGGTCTTCAGTGGTACCAAAGAATAGCATTCAATTGCTTTTCATGGATGATCTCTATACAAAATTCTAGACGGCGTCTATCCTATTGACTGCGCGCGAGACGTGCTCCCGCCCAAGTGTAAGGATAGTTGTGTTGATACCAGTTAACACTTTGGAGACAGTCAGTACAAATGCAGGTCGACATGACAGGTGGTAACTTACAATGTTGTCCGACCTGCAATTCTGGGATGCGTTGCCCATGAACCACCCAGGACAATGTTGTGCTTTCCGTCAAAGAAGTCCGCTATTTCCGGTTAGTCGACTCTAGAGAAGGCTGTCGAGCAGGTCAACTGCTCACCTGTATAACCTGGATAAATATCCATGGCCTTGAAGCCATCATGTGGCGTTAATGGCGTACTGGTCCATTCCCATACTCCTCCAAACTCACCCTGACCGGCAAGTCGATCGCCGTTCTGGATGACCGGGGTAGGATGCCAGTGCTTGAACCCAACGTTGCAACCGTGGAGGTCAACAAATACAGGCATTGTGGCTTGGGAAGGAGGTTGGACTGGCTGGCGTTCTGGGGTTGAAGGACTATCCTGGTGAACTTTCGAGTGCCCATTCAGCACCTTATCACCATTAACACCGTTGACACCGTTGACACCGTTGACACCGTTGCTACTTCTTGTCAGACGAGGCCAAGTTTTCAAACACTTAGTGGGATATACAAACCTCTCGTGATCCGATGGCTCATCTTGTCTTGTCTCCTTCAGCTGAGCGGAGTAGTTGTAGATACTCTTGACCTCCTCATAGGTGGGAATTCTGCAACCCACCCATTCGGCGTATTGGGACAGTTCGTCATAGGAAGCCATAACAGGCCAATCCTGCGCAAATTCAAGCGGAACCGGTCCAAAAACGGTGCGGACAGCGAAGTTGTCCATGAAATCCTTTGTGGCTTGACTGCTGTCCAGAGTGACCCCTTTGGAGATTGGGTAATTCTCATCCGAATGGGTTAGGACCCACGACTCTGGCCGCCGGCGCTGACGAGTCGCTTGCAGATATTTAGCATATTCCCCGTTTGTTATAGCACGAGCCTGTGCTTCGAAAGCACGAACTGTGATCGTTCGCTGAGGCTTCTCATTGTCCCATCCAAAAGACAAATCAGGCAAAGAGCGTTCGTCAGTATCGTCAAGCCCGATGGATAATGTCTGTTCGGGTATAGCAAACCATTCATTTGGCTTCGCGTTCGCTCTGGCTTGATGGAACA